AGCCAAGGCAGGAAAGTCTGGGAGATGCCAATCTCCAATTAGCCATCAAAAAAACCCCGGAAAGTAGAGCTGTGGTTCAAGTAGTAGAGCATCAGCCTTTAGTGGGAAAAGCTAAGGAAAGAGCCCAAGCCCTGAGTTCAAGCCCTAGTACAACATACATACACATCACCTCCCTCCCCCATGCACACATACATACACAGTATAAGACAGGATCTTTACTCTTTAGGAAAAATGAGAAGTGGAGGCAGGAATATGAAGCTCCAGGGGTGAAACAGGAAGACATCTTGGCCCACCGTGGTTGGAGGGGTGTGTGTGTGTACGTGCGCGCGTGTGTGCGTGCGCGCGTGTGTGCGTGCATGCGTGTGTGTGTGTGTGTGTGTGTGTGTGTGTTCTTAAAATCCTACAGCACTGCACAGAATGTCCTTGTTGGGCCCTCGCGGTTTCTTTCTGTGTTCTAAGTGACAGCTCAGCCATCTGCTAATTTCCTTTTGATACTTAGGTTTCTTACTCTGTGCTTGTTTGTTTTGCCTGGTCCTCCTTAAACTAGAGGGCACACAATTGTTCTCTGCTCCCTCTTCCAGAGTGTCTCTGGCTTTCATGCACCAGTAAAATAGCCAACAATGTCTTAAGTACCAATTACATTGGCCAGCTTTTCATTTTTCCGAGTGTGGATATTAGGAAAAGGGGGAAAAAAAACAAAAAAAACCCCAAAAACAAAACCAGCTACCATGTGCCATCACCTTTCATTTAAAAGAACATTCACACCCCCCACACATTAAATGGGAAAAATAGCATTACAAAAAAACTATTGATTTTCTTTTTTTTTTATTTCTTTTTTTCTTTTGGTTGGTCGTGGGGCTTGAACTTGGAGCGCTCGGCCACTTTTCAGCCACAGCATCACTTCTGGTTTTCTGGTGGATAAAAGTATCTGGAGATAAGAGTCTCATGGACTTTCCTGCCTGAGCTGGCTTTGAACCTCAGTCCTCAGATCTTAGCCTCTGAGTAGCTAGGATTACAGGCATAAGTCACCAGTGCCTGGCTTGATTTTCTTATGTTATGAGAAACCAGTAAAAAACAGAATGCTACTTAGATATTGGGGCCACCATTGTGGGCCATTTGGGAGTGCCATTGGGGGAGAGGTGAGAGAGGACTGGAGTTTTATGCGCCAGTTTCATAATAGGCACATGCTTGGCTTAGAAGAGAATGCTTAAGCCATGTGGTGAGGAAGTCAGGTATCATGCATCTTGCTGAGCCCTGTGAAAACCAACCAAGACCAGTGCATGGAAACTGGAGCGAGCTGCTGCTTCACAATCTCTGAAACTCTCAAGCCTGGACAATCTGCCTCTGCAGATGGGGCCTCTATGTCCTCCCCTAAATGACTGAGGCTGAAGGGTCTCAGCGAGTGTTTTTCTATCACGTATCTGGCATGTTTGAAGGTCTAAAACTTTTATTTATTATTATAGTATATATAGAGATAAAATACTATTTCCAACTGGGAGTGGTGGCTCATACCTGTAATCCCACCTACCCAGGAAGTAGGGAGAAGAAAGATCTTGGTTCAAGGCTAGCAGGAGCAAAAAGTTAGTGAAACATTTCCACCCCCCCACCTTAATTAATAAGCTGGGCATGGTGGTATGTATCTGTAGTCCCAGCTATATGGGAGCTATATGGGAGGCCTTCTTGGGGCCACGCAGGCCCTGACCTACCAACCTACCTCCATGGTCACATCATGGGCCACCCCTGATCACTCCTCCCATCAGACCAGGGAAGGGTCCCAGGCCCGGAGGTGATACCTGTATCCAGTGTGGCCACACTTTCTCCCCCCCCCACCTCCCTTCTCTACTTAAACCCAGGCAGCCCATTAACATGCCCCTTCTATCTGTCTGCCACAGTAAATCAACTCTTCCTGCCTAAGTGCCGCGTGGTGTTCTCTTTACTAGCTACCTAATTAAACCTACCTATTTAATTTACCATACACATAGGTAAGAGAATCTCTGACTAAGGACATCCCTAGGCAAAAATGTAAAACTCTACCTAAAATATAACTAATGCATAAAAAGGATTGGGTGTATGGCTCAAGTGGAGGGTGCCTGCCTAGCAAGTACAGAGCCCTGAGTTCAAATCCCAGTACTACCAAACACTAAAATTCTTTTACCATGCTAGTTGTATCATTTTCTCCCTAACCATTTGCTATGAGCTGGTAGTGATAGGAACCAAGTCCTCAATGAGAATTCCTTGTGGGGCCAGGGCCTTCCATTCATGTGGAGACCCAGCACAGGACAAAGGCGTGCTCTGTGTCCCCTGACCCTTCTCTGACTAAGAGAAGCGTCACACTGATTGATAGCCCAGGATGAGGCAGGGCCAGAACTGAGTGGGTCAAAGCAAAGCACAGGGGCTCAGCTCAGGGCTGAGAGTGGACTTCTAGAAAGTGAACAATCTTATGGCTCAAGACCACGATGAGCCTTCCTTGCGGCTTGGGTAGGGAAGGTGGAGGCTAGACTATTTCCCAAAGGCTGACCTTGGGCAGAGATCATTCTGTCCACCATGGGAGCTCTGGACTTTGGGGTTCACCTTTCCTGGCGTCTCCCTTCTCCAAAAGAAAACCCAGACTGCCACCTGCCTGAGCACTGACTTCCTTAGTGTTACTGACCCTGAGTTGGCTACTGTGCTGGCCTCAGCTGACCTTGCTTCTGGTGGCCAGGGCAAGAGCCGAAGAGGTGGTCAGATGGTGGCAATCTGCCTGGGCAGATGGAATGGCAGCCCAGTGGACTTTGGTGTTAGTCTATGGAGTGAAATCCTGAAGTCACTGAGTTTCTGAGAAGTAGATGACATGGACTAGGTAAAATTTGAGGAGATTTTCCAGACCAGCCTCTAGCTGGATTCTCTGGTACTTCTCACAGAGAAGGAGAATTTAGCCCATAAAATCCAGGCATGTGATCTGGGTAGAGGTGCCTAGTGGTTTCACAACTGCACCTAGAATAATGGAGGTAACAAGGTCTTATATACTGGCTTTTACCTCCTTGATAATCTTGGAGTGGCCTTGCTTACTCCTCACTCTTCCGCCAGCCCCCAGCCTCTATGGGTCCCTTGCATCTCCCCCAGCATGTGAGTTCCTTCCAGCCTCCAGAGCTTTGCACTGGCCTAGCCCTCTGCCTGGCGGTCCCTGCCTAGGTCTGCCCTCTTCACCTCCTTTGGATTCCTGTTTCACTGTTTTTAAGGTGCTTTGACTCCTCCATCTTGATGACCTCGAACTGGGTCACCCTGGTTAGTTGTCTTACTGACAGGTTATTGTCTTCATCGTCGTCATCGTCTTCCTCCTCCTCCATCTCCTTCTTGTACAAAGGAGTTGGCATTTAACAAAGCAGTTTATGAATCCATCTTGATCAATGTCACCCCTTTCAACATTCTCATTCATTCCTCCCCTCCCCACCTCTTCCTCTCTCTTCTTTTTATTTATTTATTTTTTTGCCAGTCCTGAACTCAGGGCCTGGGCACTGTCCCTAAGCTTCTTTGTGCAAGGCTCACACTCTACCACTTGAGCCACAGCACCACTTGTGGCTTTTTCTGTTTATGTGGTACATGAGGAATCAAACCCAGGGCCTCATGCATGTGAGGCAAGCACTCTACCACTAAGTTACATTCCCAGCCCTTCCTCTCTCTTTTTAACTTTTTAGAATATACATTGTATTCTTGTCTGCATTCTCTTCCTCTTCTCCTCCTCATTCATCTACCCCATTCCCCTTGACTACCTGGAGTATTATTTTGCTGAACTTTTATTTTGGCTAAGGAATTACTCTTTTTGAGATGTTCCTTGAATCTATTGTATCTCAGCTGCATACATTGCCTGCAGTTGCATACCTCCCAACATACTTACTTATGAGTTTATAAGCTAAATCTAGCTTCCACATAGAAGGGAAATCATGCATCCTCTACCAGACTATTTTCTTTCTTGCTTCCCGTTGGTCCCTCACATGCGAGTACAAGTTTCACGTAAGGACTTCATCCTCAGTGTCCAGCCCTTCGTAGGGCTCGATGACTTTGTTGAGTGTGTGAATGACAGGGTAAATGAGATGCTGGGTTTAGAAGACTCAGGATGATTGAGGCCATGCCCACACACGTTTCCCAGAGAGTACTGGGAGGAGAGGCAGGGCCTTGCATTCTGATGTAGACCGTTGCAGTTAGGCTTTGTGGCCGCTGGCCATTGAAGCTGACTCTAAAACTGCCAGGGTAATGAAGGGCAGTGAAGAGGGGAAGTCATCACTTAGAGGGCTGGTAGCTGCCCACGGTGCTGGCTCAGAGGAAACCGTCCAGTCTCAGCACCACCTATCTGTCTGCAGGTTGGACCAGGACAGGAGACAGGGGTGAGGAGTTGGGGGGGGGGCGGGTTGTTGATCATCTCAGCCCTGAGACAGCAGCTCCACCTTGCTGAGGGGTGGGAAAATGAGATGACTGTCATGTCAAAAATGCCTTGAGACACCCTCAGAGTCCCCTGTGTTATTCTAGCCCCTCTGAGTCATGAGTAAACTGAGGCTGAGTGAGGCCAAGGTCACACAGTTCATGATGTTCTGTCAAGAAAGGAATAGTCCGTCAACTCAAACCTGACTTTCAGGTTTCGGGCCAATGTTGAACTCTTTCTCCTAAATGACCTTTATTTATTTCCTCTTTCTTGAGAATCTACTTGTGACCATCTCTGAGGTAAGCGCGGAGGTCATGTGAGCATCACTGCCATGTCAGGTGGTACATTTCCCTGTCAGGATATTCTCTGGCCATGCTAGTGACAGCCCACTCCATAGTGCTGGCCTTTTGACCTTTGACTTGTCTGGAAATCAAAGTCAAACTCATCCTGGAGGCCTGCAGGTGTCAGGAAGAGAACTGAGCCCAGGAACCTAAGGAAGCCGGGTGCTGGGCTTCCTGTGTGAGGGACCCAGCAACAGCACCCCATTCTCTCCCCTCCTGGCAGGAGGGTACTTCTGGTCACCACCCCTTCCCTGTCTCCTCAGCCGTGTGCCAGCCACCCTGCCAGAACCGGGGCTCCTGCAGCAGGCCTCAGCTCTGCATCTGCCGCTCCGGCTTCCGGGGCCCCCGCTGCGAGGAGATCATTCCTGATGAGGAGTTTGACCCCCAGAATTCCAGACTGGCACCCCGACGCTCAGCAGAGGGGGTACCCAGCCTACGCAGGAGCAGCACCACTAGAGACAGCCTCGTGGACAGAGCACAACCGCTGACACCACAGCTGACACCAGCCCGGTAAGTCTCCCTGTCAACCTGGCCTCAGAGGCTTGGCTTGGTCTGTCTCTGTCCAGAGAGGAACTGTGTGGGAAAGGCTGCTGTGGTCCTCTGGGCCCATTTCCCCACTTTGCACCCCTTTCTTTGTCCTTTAGGTCAAGGTGAGTTGTGTAGGTGAAGTCTCTCCTCTACCATGCCAGGGAGAAAGCCGAGGAGGAATGGCTCCTGCATCAGAGCTTCTTGGTTCTAGTCCTGGCTTTGCATCTTCCTTAGGTGACCCTGAAAATATGAACTCTCTGTTTCTGATTCCTTCTCACTAAGTCTGGGGCAATTGTAATACCTACATCATGGATTTGTGAGGATTCAATTAGTTAATATAAGTAAAATAGAGTCAGTTTTGAAATTCTAGCAACTCAGGAGGTGGTTCAAGATCAGGAGACATCCCCTCCTTCTCAATTAATAATAATAATAATAAAAGCTGGGCATAGTGATACATACCTGTCATCCCAGCTACCCAGTAAGGATAAATAGGAGGATCGCTGTCCAGGCTGGGGGTAAAAAGCATAACCCCATTTGAAAAATAGCTAAAAGCAAAAAGGATTGGATATGTGGCTCAAGCAGCAAGAGTTGTCTGCCTAACAAGCGTGAGGCCCTGAGTTCAAACTCCAGAACTTAAGGGGGGAAAAAGTGTTTAGAGTGGTACCTGGTACATGTTCTCTGTAACTGTTCTTCCTCCTCCTCCTCCTCCTCCTCCTCCTCCTCCTCCTCCTCTCTTTCCTTCTTCTCCTCCCTTTCCTCTTCCACCTCCTCTCTTTCCTCTTCCTCCTCCTCTCTTTCCTCCTTCTCCTCCCTTTTCTCTTCCTCCTCCTTCTCCTTCTCCTCTATCTCCCCTCCCTCATTTCCTGCATTCTCTGTGATAGTGGAAGGGCTCCTCCACCAGCAGCAGCCTCTTCTTGACACCTACGACCCACTACCCCAGAGGGAAAGCAAAGTGGCATGTGGGGGCCATGAGGAGAACAAAAGTGGCCACGGGGAATGGCACAGGAAGCAGTGCTAGGTTTCTTGCCAGCCAATTTGGCTAGGCTTTTTTTCTAGCTCAGGACAGGAAATCTAAATTTTTTAAAGCTGGTCCATTTCTAGGGGGCTGTGTTTTGCTTTTGGTTTTTTAGGATTTGTTTTTCCATTTGCTTCTACTTAGGAAGTTCTTTCTGAAATGCTGCAACGTTGTCTTGCTGAACTAAAGGGAAAAAGGATTTGCCCCCTCAGAGCCAAGAGAAGCAGGGAGGAGACTGACCTGGGGGTCAGGTCCCCAGCAGGACAGGTCAAGAGGACCTGCTGAGTTGGAGGGACAGAATGGAAAGGATTTGCTTTCTGAAAGTCTCTTTCGAAAGGGCTGGAACAGGCAGACCAGAGTTGTAGTAAGGTGAAATTCCAAGGTTCTGAGTACCCAAGCAGATCCAAGCTCCAAGGTCAAAACCAGAAGAACCACTCTATAGCCAAGAGCTGTCTGAGACAGAAACAGAGACAGAGCCAAAGAACAACACAGAGGACCTGGGGTTAACTGAAAGTTGGTGGGCAGGGCCTGATCCTTCTTCTGATCCCAGGTAGATGGGACTGGTATAATGGTACCTGGAGGCATATGAGAGCTGCCAGTCCAGAAGCCAACAGGGACAGATGGGCACAAACTTCTTTCCAGATGGCATTTCTCCCTACAAGTCTCTGTTTGGTTTGTGGAATTCATTCATGTGTAAAGCATTGGCCCTTGGCAAGTATCTCTTCACTGGCACCTGAGTCAGAGTCATTTAACACCTTTTCCCCATCATCCAAGCCCGCTTGTGCCATGCCCTTGTTCTTTTTGCTAGAGTTATTTTTCCAAATAGGGTTTTGTGCTGTTGCTGAGGGTCACCCTTAGATGGAGATTCTCCTACTTCCGTCTTTTGAGTAGCTGAGGTTAGAGGTGTGTGCTACCACATCCTGCCCTTCCTGCAGCACTTTCTACTGTCCTGAACCCTGCCCTTGTGTCTGGATCGTGTGGGACCATACCCTGGAAGGCAGCTACTGTCCCGTGTCTTCCACGTGCTTGTCCCGTGCTTGGCTTGCAGAAAATTCTGGTCTCTGAATCTTGCTGCCAACCTCAGAGCTAGCCTAATAAAAGGGACTCACTTGGCATTGAATTTCATCTGTACCTGAAACTGTGGGCATTACCCCTGAGTGCCACTGAGAGGGCGGAAAGCTAGTCTTTACTGATGCCCAGGCAAGCACTCTGCGCTTCCCTCCCTTCCATTTCTCACTCTGTCTTGGGTTGGGCTGTTCAGTCTCTCTCTGGACCAGGGGTTAAGACAGCTCTGCTAGTTCATGAATGTGTCTTGGCACCTAACACTGCAGTGTACACTGTAGGCACTGAGTCAATGTAAATTGAATATGTAAATGAGTGTCGGACTATGTAAATGAGCCTGAGTATGTGCCGTCAATCCCCCAGGGATATTATCCTATGTGTAAGAGGCACTGGACAGCCAAAGTCCTGGGTGAGGTCTCTGGCCCACAGCGGGACATCCTCCTATACTTTCATAGGTTTCCTAGCCAGGGGCTACTGTGATTTCTTAATGAGCTGCAGCTCCAGGCCAGCCCTAGCCCTCCCTGCCCTCAGTCCTCTGTGCCATGAAATCTGGGAAAGTCCGAGCTTGTCCTGCTGTAGGCCACTGTCGATGCAGCTGTGTTTTGCTTCGAGAGGCCAAATCTCAAATGCCTGGTGGTGTCAGACATTTCCTGTGATCCTGGCCAGGTTTCCCAGGCAGCTGCTGGCCTCTCTCCTGATGGCAACTTGGACAGGCCCTGTGTGTCCAGACAGAGGAGTGACAGGATGCAGAGGACATTGTAGGCGAAGATGTCTAAGAAAGTGAGGCATTCTGGGGTTGGTAATGGATAGAGGCTGCTTCTGAAGAACAGTGGGCAGAAGCCAGGAGATAATGTCCCAGAGGCAGATGAGAGGGAGAAGCCGGCCGAGGGACAGGCAGCAGGCAGGATGCTGACAAAGGCCAGATGTGTATTGATACCGTCCAGCTGCAACCTGGGCTGGCTGCAGGGGGCCGTGGAGACTCCCTCCAAGCCCCAGGCCCAGACTTCTTTCCTAGTGGGGAAGAAACAGCTAGCACCTGGGCAAGGTCTAGAGTGATGGGGTTGATTATAAGAACCATGGTTCTATACAGAATCTGTTAGGCTCTGGTAAACTGATTCAGTTCATATGTACCACCATGTGAGTCTCCTGGGAACTTGTCAATATGCAGCGTCTGATTGGGCAGTTCTGAGCCTCCTTAACACAGTCCCAGGTGATGCTAATACTGCTGGTCCATGGACCACGTTTTCATTACCTAGGGTCAGAGCCTAGATTTAAATTCAGATAATCCTTGGTTTCAGTTCCGAATTTACCACTCATTAGGCATACATCCCAATGTCTCTGAGCCAAGAGCCTCCACCACCTAGAATCACAGCAAGGATGAAATGAGAAGATGTGAGTCGCACACTCAGGATGGTGTCTGATCCAAGTTAGTATTCTATACCTGTTATCCATCAAAGGACAGCTTCTTTCTGCCACAAAGACTTGGGTGGATGGAAAGCAGTAGCAAAAAACAGACAGAGGAAAGCAGTGTATGTGTGCCTGTGCATGTAGCCTCATGCAGACATCTTCTGGGGATAAGTCAGAGCCCCAGCCCTAGTCCCAGCCCCAGTCCCAGCCCCAGGCCCTGGGAGGTGTGACTAGCCAATGCAGTAGTAACACCAGTGATAGCCCTTTAGGTGGCTTGGGCTACTGTTCAAGGATGAGAGTGACTCACACTAGGATTTCTCCTCTGCCAGACCTGATGCCCGAGAGCCTGAGTCTTGTGTCTATCTGAAGTAGGCAACAGAGACCTTGAGGACATGGCTGAGCAGGGCTGCTCAGGGGTAGGGAGTGTCTAGGGCATTACAGCCCCCTGGTGGTGGAGCACCAGAAGTAGCCTTTTTTCTTTTTCCTTTTTTGTGCAGATCCTAGGGCTTGAACTCAGGACCTAGGTGCTGTCTTTGAGCTTCTTTTGCTTGAGGCTAGCACTCTACCACTTGAGCCACAGCTCCACTTTTTGGTAGTTAATTGGAGATAAGAGTCTTATGGAATTTCCTTTCCTGGGTTAACCTTGGACAGTGTTCCTCACATCTCAGCCTCCTGAGTAGCTAGGATTACAGGCGTGAGCCATCAGCACCTGGCTTCCATCTTTTCTTTACACTACCTCTTCCTCTCTTCTAGATCTTTTCTCTCCACATGCTGCATCTGAATGCATCCACTATATTCTTTCTCTATGGCTGCTAGAACAAATTACCGTAATACTAGCTGGTTTGAGCAACACACATTTATTAGCATTTATTTCTATAGGTCAGACATCCGGCATGGGCCTCAGCCAGTGACACGCAAACATCCACTGGCCATGTTTCTGGAGGCTCCAGGGTGGAACCCACCCTTGCCTACTCATGTCAGCAGACTGAACTTCCTTGCAGTTGCATGCCTGAGGTCCGTGTTTCCTGGCTGGCTCTCTTGAGGGCTGTGCCTGCCTAGCATCTAGAAGCCACCTCAATCCTTGGTTTGTGGCCACTTCCCTCCATCTTCAATGAGGTCACAACAGCAAGAGTGCTTTTCCTGAGTGAATCTCCCCTCTGCCTCCGTGGTTTCTCTCTCATTCAGTTTCTCTCTTTTTCTTTTACACTTCAGGGGCCCTACAATGCCATTGGGCCCATTTGAAGCATCTAGGACAATCTTCCTAATTCCATCTCCATTAGGATGGAATTTCCTTTTAGCCATTTAGTGTAACATAATCAGAGAGGGGTAACACCAAGAGAAGAAGATCCATGTGGTAAACCATCCCCACTCCCTGCTGCCAACTCTTGCTGGGACCTTCTGTCCAAGGTGTGATAGCTCTTTCTTCTCCTTCTTCTCTTTCTTCTTCTTTTGTCAGCCATGGGGCTTGAACTCTGGGATCTGGGTATTGTTCTTTAGCTCAAGGCAAGTGCTGTACCACTTGGGCCACAATGCCACTTCCAGTTTTCTGGTGGTTAATTGGAGTTAAGAGTTTCACAGACTTTCCTGCCCGGGCTGGCTTTGAACCATGATCTTCAGATCTCAGTCTCCTTATAGCTAGGATTACAGGTGTGAGCCACCGGCACCGAGCTGATAGCTCTTTCTTATTGAGAGCTTGCCGAGTGTGAACCTACATGATCCTTGGCCCCCAAATCCTTTCTGGCATTTCCAACATCAACCCTCACCATTTGCTATCCATCTTCACCTTTCTTCTGCTGCACTGGCCAATAGATTTTTCCTACACCTACCAGACATACTCCCACCTCAGGGCCTTTGCCCTTGATATTCTCTTTTGCTCCAACATTGACATCATTTCCTAGGGCTTCCATAACAAAGTTCTACTAGTAGGTGACTTAAAATAGTTCTGAAAACTAAGATGTCCAAAGTCAAGGTAATGGTAGGGTTGGAGGCTCATTAGGAGAATCTGTCCCATGCCTTTTGTTACCATGAGGTGGTTCCTCGCCATCCTTGGCATACCTTGGTTTGTAGTTCTGGCAGCACACTGCCCCCTTCCCTATTTGTGTGTGTCTGTCAGCTATTCTTCTCAAGACTGAAAGTTGTTGAATTTGGAGTCTTCCTTAGTCTAGTATGGCCTCCTCTAGACCTAAGTATATCTATAAAAACTATTTCCAAATAAGGTCACATTTATGGGTCCAGAGTTAGGACTTCAACATAGCCTTTTGTAGAGGAAACAATTCAACCCAACTCAAAATATTCTAAAATGGCAGGCTTTCTCCCTTCCCTGTGGGCTGGATACTCCGTGTGCATCTGAAACCACACCCCAGATACTCCCTTTTACAATCTAGCTCTTTTTCTCTAGGACATCTTAATGTCCTTGCTATTTTATTTCTTTGATTTACTGGTTTTTTCTTACCCTGGTAAATGGCCAGGCCCAGGAGAAAAAGGGTTTTATCTGTTTGCTGATGGTCTCCAGTGCCCTGAGCCCCGCTCAGCCCAGAATGGAACCCACTGAATACACTCTGGACTCTGTATGTACATCATCTCCATGCTTCTCATAACCCATAAAGGCTACAGGCCCAATGTTCCTGTTCTGATGAGGAGGACAGGCTCGGAAAGGCGACGTGGCTTATCCCTTCTCCCTCAGGCCAGCCTGGCTTGTGCTGCGCCCTGGGAGGATGAAGTAGAACCTATTGTTAAAGCTTCTACTGTATGCTTACTTGTGATGGCTGCCTGGGCAGAGGCTGGGGCACTCCCTACTTTAGAGCAGGACCCCAGCATTGTCCAGGCCTAGAAGTTTCCATGGCCTCTTGCCATCTCCTGGCACTTGACCTTTAGCCTTCTGTTGCTGAGAGTAAGGTGGAAGGTTCCAGAGGGAGCTACTTCGGTCCTTCCCCCTAGGCTTAACCCAGGCTTCCTATGGAGGACTCTGCCCCCAAGAAACAGATGGTCTCCGTAAACCTGAGGAAGGCTGAGCAACAGTAGACCACTGTCTCAAGAGTCACACAGGGGAGATGCAGGCCTCCTGACCCAGGATGAAGTGGACAAGAAACCCAGCATCCAGCTGATAGAATGGGAGTTGGCCCAGGAGGCTGACAGCCCACAGTCAGAACTGGGTATCTGAGAAGAGAGCAGCTGGAGCAGACACCCAGCATGGAGGGCCTGGGTTAGCATCTTGTAAATTGCGTCCTCTTCTTAGAACCCTATACACAGGTGGGGGGAGAGTTAGGGACAAGGCCTGCCACAGGGCTGCTGTGGACTGTTCTCTTGATTATGTTAGAGATCTAGGCTGTCAGGAAGGAGGCCCTGTGGCATTGGTATAGGAGAGCACAGGCTGGTTCCTGGCTCAGGCCCTGTGGATGGAAGTCTGGTGGTTGGAGGAAGGGTAGGAGAAGGTGGTGCCAGGAAGCATCTCAATGTGGGTGTGAGGAGGAGCTCTGGCTTCCATGTTAGGCAGAAATTTAACCTGGCACCTTAGTGGTGGGTCTAGATGACTGGTTACAGCAATGGATGTTTGGGTTAGGATTGGGAAGGGCTGGGGCTGTGGCTAGGGTGAGGTTCGATTCAACAGTGGGTTGGTGGTTAGAGATAGGAAGAAGCAATAGTTAAAGAGGAAGTAGCTATAATTTTCTAAAACAAAAAAATGACACTAAGCCATTAGTTACAAAAAAAGATTAGAGCTACAACATTGATGTGGCATTAGAGTGAGTGGTTAGGGAAGGTTATGGCAAAGTAGAATTTAGAACTGGTGTGTGTGTGTGTGTGTGTACTTGTCCTGAGGCTTGAAATTAAGGCCAGGGAGCAGTCCATGAACTGTTTTGCAAAAGGCTAGTGCTCTACCACTTGAGCCACAGCCCCACTTCTGGCTTCTTTTGGTGGTTAATTGGAAATACGAGTTTCATGGACTTTCCTGCCCAGGCTAGCTACAAACCACAATCCTCAGATCTCATCCTCCTAAGTAGCTAG